TGCTGCAGAGACTGTGGGGGTTGAGGTTGGGAGGGTTCTGAAAATATTATTCTCGTAGGTTTCCACCAACAGCTCGCTTGTCGGAATACCCTGGTATTTTTTGGGAAGTCTTTGGGTCTGGGTCTCGTAGGATGTATTTTGTTTACCTCGGGGCTCGTTTATTCGAGCCCTGGCGCTTCTCACGCTTTAAATGATGCTGTCAACACAAATGCGAATGATTTCCAATAAGGAGATCACGGTAATCAGCACACCGGCAACGAAAGCCACGCGGAAACAATAGTCCCAGAGGTATGCATAGCGCTCGACATAAATCTCAAAGTACCTATCAAAGGACGGGTGTTGGGCAATCTCTGCGAACGCGGCAGCGATGCTTGGGTGTTCCAACGCAAGTCTACAAACAGCCATGAAACAGGCGAAAATGCCGAAGCCGAAGCAACACCCTACTGAGGCCACCAAGAACACATCCTTTGAGCATGCTGAGAACTGCGTTCACGGCCATGTTTTCTGGATGGGTGGTGTGGCGGAACGATGAAGATGGTGCTATAGGTATGTTCAATGAGAGACTTCGAGTGATGATGATGGACACTGAGAACGACAAGGATGACAGGATGAGCAGAGTGGCGCATCTTTTATACAAGCCTTAAGCTACCCACAGCCGACTACATTTTCTTTATGATATTGTTTTGAGCCTAACAATACAGCTGATCTGGAATCCTTTGTTTCGGCATGCTTGGTTGCTCCGCGGACAATGATAGGTAGGTACTAGCTAGGCAACAATGACTTTGAAGAGCCTATCTGACCAAGAACAGCTTGAAATAGATGATGGACTCCCAGAATCTAATTCCACAAAACCCTATTATTACAAGTCCTCCCCGCCATGCTTACCTTGTGGCGCATATCTTCTGCATGATCACCGTAGCTATCTACGACCCTGACATTGACTGGATGCAACGGAGATCACCGATGACGGCAGGAGAAGCGTAAAGTCATGATGATCCCAACCAAGGCCGGTATTCCGGCCATTATAATCCTGTTGTTAACACAGGTGGCAGTGACGGCGCCGATAGCAGTCGACCAAACTCATTCCTCACAGAGCGCCACGGCTGTCACTGCAACCAAGCGCGACACACCGGCCGCCACGCCGGAAGTGATAGCCACCGCATCCGTAGTCGGAGGGATCCTCTGCCTCATGTTTTGCTTTTACTGCTACGGCCAGTGGAAGCAGAGGCGCAACGAGCGTAAGAGGCAGGGTAAAGACAACGCGTTCGAGATGGCAGTGCGCATAGGAGTTGAAAGACGCAAGCTGGCTGCAGCAAAGAATGGCGTGGTTGAGGATGGTAGGGCTGTGTAAAGTTTAGGTCCGTAGAGGAGGGTGAGGGAGCGAACAATATAACCGGTATATAAAAGAATGTGTTTTCTGTTCATTCGCGTTAGTTACCATTGATGCTTGGTAAGGCATTTAATGTTCACTGCTCGGGAACCGTTCCAGATGATGGATGTGCTTGTCTTTACCTGCCAGGCTAAGGATAGTAGTGGTGGTGATGACGCCGCCACAGTAGCCAAGCACCAGGCTTCATTTCCTGAAGACATATATATGAGAGTCAGGAGCCGCCTGATCCGAGTGGTCTGGGCGTTTCCCGTCCAACGTTGGTTCCACGCTACAATCAGCATCGCGACCCTCGATCTTATTTATACGACCCCCTGTGCATGAGACAAGCAATAACAGCTCTTGGCAAGGCTTTCATCGTTTTCCGTGTTTCCCCCCTCTTTCATTTGACAAACATCTCAACCGCCGGAGGTCTCAGAACCTTAATCAGACCTCACCATGTTGACTCGCGAACTAGCAGATGACTGCGAGAAACCTCCTTGTCCTTACGCGAGTCGAGTATTAGAGTTTGCTGTGACGAGTCCACAACCCTCCCCCTCTTTCGAGTAGCGAGTAGCTACCGCGAGCAATCCAGGACCCCAGCCATAGCAGAGGCGCTAGAGACAGAGAACGACGTCAACATTGCGAAGATTGCCTGGCTCAGCAGGAAGGATACAAGCAAGGCCTACGGCTCGATGGTTGTCTACGTGACGAAGGGCAGCGAAGCAAGGCGACTTCTAGACGGGCGTTACTTCCATCTCGCCGGAGAATCCGCTTACACGACCGTTTTCGCGCCCCGGGAAGGCCCAATCCAGTGCTACAGATGCCAGGAGATCGGCCATAAGGCCTTCGCCTGCAAAAAGCCGCAAAGATGCGGAAGGTGTGCGGAACAGGGTCACCACCACAAGACGTGTCAGTCCGTGGTCCTGAAGTGCGTGCTATGCAGAGGACCACACGAGTCATTTAGCAAGAACTGTCGGGTACGCATGGTTGAACAATGGGGCCCAAGACGCTTAAGATCCTTCAGCTCAACGTCCGCAAACGGAGAGAAGTGCAGCAGAGTCTGCTAAACGACGAGGGACTCAAGGACTTCGCAGTGCTGGCCATCTCCGAACCATATGCCAGGCTGATCGAAGGCTCGGTGACGACGGTCCCAATGAGTCATCACAACTGGACGAAGCTTATACCAACGACAAGACGAGAAACCACGTGGCCAATTCGGAGCATGCTATGGGTACGAAGCGATATAGAGGTCGAGCAAATTCCAGTGCCGTCGGCAGACCTCACCGCAGCACGCATTCGGCTCCCAGATCGGGCAGTGCTGATGGTGTCAGTGTATGTGGAGGGTGGTAGTGACGAAGCACTGGAAGATGCAATGAGGGAAATTGACCGACTGATTAGGAGGTTTCGAAACGGAACAGGGACGAGAACGGATATCATCCTGGCGGGCGATTTCAACCGCCACGACCAGCTTTGGGGAGGGGACGATGTCTCACCACGGAGACAAGGCGAGGGAGACCGCATCATCAACCTCATGGACGAACACTCCCTCTGCAGCCTCCTCCCAAGAGGCACGAAGACGTGGCAGTCAGGCGACATTGAGAGCACAATCGACCTGGTACTGGCTCTCTGCAGAACTAGCAGACCAACTACTCAGATGCACGATTCACCCCTGCGACCATGGCTCACACCACAGAGCAATCGAGACAGCTTTTGACACCACGGTGGTAGGACCGTCCCAGTGAGACGAGGTTCCTCTTCAAGAACGCGCTCCTGGGCGGAAATTAGGACTAGGGTGGCAGCAAACCTCGAACGCATCCCCTGGGACGGCAATGTCCAGCAGCAGACGGACAGGCTCATGGCAGCGGTAACCGAGGCGGTCTACGGCCTGACACCTAAAGCCAAGCCCTCACCATACGCCAAGCGGTGGTGGACAACAGACCTGACACGGCTTCGCCAGACATACACGTTTTGGAGAAACCAGGCGAGATCTCGACGTAGGATTGGGCAAACAGCACCAGAGCTCGAACAACGAGCCAGGATGGCAGCCAAAGAGTACCACGACGCCATCCGCAGACAGAAGAGTTCGCATTGGAACGACTTCCTGGCCGATGACGCTAACATCTGGCAAGCAACGAAGTATCTTGCAAACCGGCAGCGGCACGATGGGCGATAAGATACCCCTGCTCGTCCGACCCGATGGCTCCATCACGGAGGGTAAAGCAGAACAAGCGCAGGAGTTACTCCACCGCCTTCTTCCCACCTTTGCCAGCGAGAATCGAAGACGAGGGCCAACGACCTCAACGGGCGCCCGGTACACATGCCCAGACCTAACAATGGAGGAAGATAGAACAAAAGGTCCTGTCCCGCTAAGCCCATGGGAAGGCGCCCCGGGGGAAGACGAGTCTACCGAGCAATGAGTATGGAAGACAGCTCTTGGCCAGTGGTTCAAAGACAGGGTGCTCCATTTTATTTCCGGGACGTCCGCTTTGGAGAACGGCGAACCATCCCCAGGCCAGTGTGAGGGAATGCCCAAGGATCATTCCCCATTTGAAAGAAGCCCAGGAGAAAGAGCGAATACACTCTAGCCAAGTCCTGGAGACCCATCTCGCTGCTCTCCACGCTAGGTAAGATACTGGAGAGCAGTCATTGCGGAGCGTTTATCCCATGCTGTGAGAGACCTGCGGACCTTTCTACCCCGCCAACCACTTCGGAGCCAGGGAAGGAGACGCTCGACCGAACAGGCTCTCCTTCTGCTTCAGGAACACATCTACAAAGCATGGAGAGCTAGGAAAAGTGCTCAGCCTGATCAGCTTCGATGTCAAGGGCGCATACAATGGGGTCTTCAAAGACAGGCTTCTCCAGAGGCTCAAGGCAAGAGGGATACCTGAATCCCTGGTCAAGTGGATCGACGCCTTCTGCTCCAAGCGCACAGCGACCATTGCCGTAAACGGGTTCACATCTGGACGGCAAGAGCTGCCCCAAGCGGGTCTTCCGCAAGGATCGCCGCTGTCTCCAGTGTTATTCCTCTTCTTCAACGCCGACCTAGTGCAGCACAAGATTGACGCGAACGGAGGCGCAATTGCCTTCGTGGACGACTACACTGCCTGGGTAACGGGCCCGTCAGCGGAGTCGAACCGCACTGGAATCCAAGGCTTGGATTCCAAGCTATCATCGACAAAGCCCTTGACTGGGAGAAACGGAGCGGTGCGCAGTTTGAAGGCGAAAAGACCAGCCATCATACACTTCACGAGGAACATGGAGCGATTTTCAGAACAAACGTTCTCGGTCAAAGGCGAAGTGCGTCAAACCGAAGGAAAGTGCGAAAATCCTAGGTGTCGTGATGGATCGCGAACTCCGCTACAAGCAGCACATTGCTAGGACGGCAGCTAAGGGCCTCGCAGCCGCTCTGGCCCTGAAGAGGCTGAAGATGCTTTCCCCGCGGACAGCGAGACAGCTATTTGTTGCGACAGTAGCCCCGGTCATGGACTACGCTGCCAATGTCTGGATGCATGCGTGCGGGGAAAAAGCACTGAGCTGAGCTGAACAGGGCGCAGAAGATCGGGGCCCTGGCCATCACGGGAGCCTTTCGAACCGCGGCAACAGCCGTGGTGGAAGCTGAAGCGAGCATCTACCCCGTACGAGAACGACACGTCCAGGCGGCAGCCAGTCTGTGGATCAACATCCACACGCTGCCCAGAACGCATCCCCTTGCCATGAAGAAAGTCCGGACCACCGTACGATTCGTATCTCCGCTGCAGAAAATTGCCCGCGTGGCTGAAGGAGTACGAGTTGACCGGATGGAGACAATCCAGGAATACGCCGTCCCGCCCTGGGTACCTCGCCTACGACCGACGCTCGAAGCCGATCGAGGGAAGGCGGCCGAGATGGTCAACAAAATCTCGGGAATCGTGATCGCAACCAGCTCATCCGTAAAGAAGGGCATTGTTGGCATGGGCGGCCTTGCACGGGATACTCTCTTCAACCAGAACTAGCGAGACTGTGACAAACTATGCTGTTGTTCTTGGGACAAGGGAAGAGCAGAACCCATATACAGCAGAGCTAGCAGCCATCGCAATGGCCCTGGAGAAGTTACCGGCTAGCATCTGCCACAGCCACATCACCGTGATCACGAGGAACCAGTCAGCGCTGGCAGCAGTTGGACAGCCGCGGCAGCAATCCGGCCAAAGCATCATACGGCAAATCTACGACTTGGCCAGGCTGCACCGACAAAGAGGAAACTCAGTCAACTTTCTGTGGATACCAGCGGAGATTGACTTCGCGCTAGGGTCAGATGCCAAGGCAGCAGCCCAGAGAGCGTCGAAGCAAGGACGCACACCCGACTCCCAAATGCCCCAGGCCAAGTCTACCGCGATGAGGCTGGCAATGGAAAGACAACGGACGACAAGAGTTCTACCTGTAAGCGTGGGCAAGTTCTCAAAGGCCATGGACGCAGCACTACCAGGCAAGCACACGCGCGATCTCTATGACAAGCTGAAGCGAAGGGAGGCCTGCGTATTGGCGCAGCTCCGAACCGGAATGGCGAGACTGAACGGTTTTTTGAGCAGGATTGGGGCGGTCGAGTCAGACCTTTGTGCCTGTGGACAAGCGAGGGAATCAGTGGAACACTTTCTTTTCCGATGCGTGAGATGGACAGCTCTGAGGGAAGACATGCTGCAATGCACAGTGGCAAGACGAGGAAGCCTCTCGTTCTATCTGGGAGGGAAAGCGCCATCAGATACAAGGCATTGGTCACCAGATATGAAGGCAGTCCGGGCGACGATCAAATACGCAATGGCAACAGGAAGGCTGGAGCTGAATGAAGAGGAGAGTCTAAACCAGTCACAGTAGAAGAAGCCGACACTCAACACCACGAGCCTCAACCACGAGCCTTAACCAGCAGGTCCCGCTTTAGCTGCTGAAGATAGGACGCTGAACACTTGGAGAAAGTAGCCTCCAAGCTGATCTGCTAACAACAACCAAGGCAAGAGGTAAATGGTGCAGCGAGAAAGAGGGAAGAAGTAGGGGGCTTGTACGAGTTAAACGCAAAACGATCTGATCCGGATGTAGCTAGCGTGCTAAGGCCCTATAGGCCCAGTGCCTCCGGGCGAAATAAATTCCATCCATCCATCCTTTGCGAGTTCGGTTTTTTTTTGGCCAGAGGGTGGTGCCTGGGCACCTGCCCGCAAAATTTACAAGCGGTGTTGCCGCGCCAAGACGGACAAGGCGTTTGCACCACACAGCAGCATTCCACGTTTTCAGCCCTAAAAGTTATCCTGTATTGCCAAGTTCCAGCGGCTGTTACCCGCCGCCAATCCCATCCCCATCAACACATCCCACGTCATCAAGCCTCCGTACTCACAGGCACAGGGGCTGGAAACATAATCTGTGGATTTCTTCTTGGGCCAAGCTCTCCTAATTATGTAGTAGTGCATCCAAGATTCACAAATCTTCGAATCAACTGCAACAG